GGCAAATGAATTTAATAATCGATCAAACAATGAATAACTGTAACCTACCTACTTCATGTAATAGGGCTCCAAAGAATACAGTGGCCAACCCGTCAATTGGATTGAACCCATCTGATGGTCTCTGTACGGGACAGAAATAGGACTGGTATTTTAAGTTGCCAGTTTTGAATTAATGGGTGTACTGTTTCAACTCCTACCCTCAAAACGACACTATAGAGCACTGCACACCAGAACAACTAGACACAAGAACAGTTTTATTCCCAAACGCCATCACTCTGCTAAACAAATAATTCCCTCAACACTGTCAAACTAGTTACTAAGTCTGCACTACTATTGATCTTCTCATCGTTCCCATCACCCATCTCCTCCCACTTACGACTGTATGACTGTAACCTTGTTGCTGGTATCCTTACTCACAGGAGGCAACTGGATTTTCTTGTTTGTTTGTTTTTCTTTTGAAAGACGTTTCATTCAAGAAGCATCTTCGGATCTGACCAGATGGTGGGGAATGGAAGGATTTATCTTCCTCGCAGGCAGCTGGTCCTTTGCATCCTTTATGAGGGTCGTTGAAGCCCTTGGAGGTTTCTCTGTGTCCTCAGGGTCACCTGAGTGGCGCTCCTGATTCCTGTCGTCTGAATTTCTTTTCCTCTGGAAATCCATTCCTACTCCCACCCCATTCCAATGGGGTTCATCCCAAATTGTATAGCCAGAAGTCTGTGTAGATTCTCATTCATCCAAAGGTGCTTTTTCATGAGGTAACTGGACTCTCTTGTTTTTTTCTTGATGATGTTTTGCTTCTCGTCCAAGAAGCTTCTTCAGCTCTGACCAGATGGTAGAGAATGGAAGGATTTATATTAGCTGTGCGCTTTGGGATGAACAAAGGTGCAGATGAACAAATGGTGTGGGGATATGAACGGATTTCCAGATTTTCCACTTTTATATATATAGAGATAAGAAATCTGGAGTTATTGCAGTGGTGGGCTGCTACTGGTTCACCCCAGTTCGGGCAAGCCGGTAGCGGAGATGGTGAGGTGAGAGCGAACTGGTTGGGCCCTCCCGCCCGCCACTGCGCTATATCTACCTATATTCGTTCGATTTTAGTCCAGTTGACAGGTGTGGCAGAGCAGATTGCTGTGCCTCAGCTGTTCTGAAATTCAATGCGCTTGTGCGAAGCGCAAATTCTGCGTGAATGCGAGCAAATTACGCGCAAAGCACATGCACGAAGCGAACCGGCAATAACACTGGTTGAAACCCACCACTGAGTTATTGGTGATTTGGAATTCACTCTATCTGTAATCATTACAGACAGAGTTCTCCCACCTCTGAGGCAGAATATGAAGAAAGACTTCCAGCTTACCTAAGCAGAATTATGGCATTAAATAGAATTGACGTCAGCAATGTATGTCAGCATAAACTTTATGGACGGGGATAGGAACAGATAGGTAGGCATCTTTCTTATAAAAAAAAAATGATTTATAGCAGAAAGATTTCCAATTCAGAGGAGGCCTTGAATGTCAGTTGCACAATAACTATGCCCCCGAACCAGTGAATGCAAAGGCAACGCAAGCACAGCTTTTTGGCAATTGCTCTCTCTCCTTCCAGATCATTGGCAGGTATAACCGAAGGGCAACGCTCCACAAAGATTGTTGGTTCAGTGAAAGGATGATAAATTGCCAGGGACGTCAGCCAATTCTTTGCAAACAAGTGAAAAGTTCCCTTGGCGTAACCTTCTTCTTAGTAGGTGGGGTTTACTCATTAGCCCAATTTGGGTGGGTCTGGATAGCACATGGATTTCTTTATTCGAAGCTTAGAAAATTCTCTTTTTTGGGAAACTTTGAGTCAGTCCCAAAAATGACTCTTTGTGGCCATCTGAATTCTCTTTCAGCCTTTTTTTTTTTTCTTTACTTTCTCACAGCAGCTGGGATCTCTTTGCCTTAAGAGATAATCTTGTGCAGCCAAGGGTTTACTTATTAGTCTGTCCTCACAGTTCCTTTCACACAGCTATTGCTGCACAGTGTGAATCGTTCACAAATTAGCAGTCTCCTTCTCGGTAGCATGCTGGAAATATTGACCGGTGGTTCAGGTGATTAGACTATATTGCACAGATTCCTACTCAGTTCTGCTCATCGGTTTTCTCACGTGTTTCTGCATTGGGTCTGGAGAATATATATATATATATATATATAGGAAAATTCTGTTCAGAGCAATGGGAAAAAATAGCCATTCCACCCACCTCAGCCCAACTTAATTTTAAGCCCGAAATGAAGTTGCTAACAAGGAACATCATTCTGTCCCCCTAACAGGAATTACTGCATAACCATATATTTTCATGTGGGAGAGTCAAGATGAAAATAGATTCGTCATGTTGTGCAGAGCTGACTGTAGCTAGCTGACAAATGTCAAAAATGCACATTACTCAGGGTTTTTTTTTATTATTATTATTATCTTCGAGTAGGGTATTTGATTGTCTACCTTTGGAGAACTCTTCTCGCTGCCTGCCCACCTAGGAGCCTCATCGCATCTGTTGCAAAATTATTCTGCCAAGTTTTATTTTATTTTTTCCATCAAAGCTCCGGATTTTGCTTAGAAACACCTGAAGAGTTATCTGTTGTGGCTCCGTTGCCTGAGCCTGAGCTATCGACAGATGCAGACTCTGAGAGTGAGGAAGAGGAGTTGGCAAGTCCTCCCTCTCCAGGACCCTCCTCTCTGGCAATGCCTCCGGAAGACACCGAAGGCCAAACGATAGGCTCAGAGCCAAGCACGTCCCCGCAGCCACAGGTGGACAGCGACGAAGAAGATAATGCTGGCTGGACCCGTGACAGAGGTGCAGGGAGAAGCGTGCACAGCAGAGGGGAAGGCGTGCCAGAAATTAGCTGAGTCACTGGACCACACCCCACAGGGTATAAATGTGGGTGTGATGGCCGGTTCAGTATGTGATGAGCAAAAACTGGAAATAATCCATGATCTCTGCGTTACTGGACTTTGCCTGCTTTATTGGACTGCATTTGGATTAATCCTTATATTGTTGAAACTCTGCCTGTTTTATCGGAATGCTTGCAGTCTAATCTTTGTTTTGTGCGAGTAAAGTCTGAATTGGCAGCTAGCCACTGGGTTGCTGCCAGCTTTATCTTCAAAGAGTTTTGTCGTGTGGCTTATTAACTCCAGTCCGTCTGTGGGGATGCGTGTGTGGTACGGGGACAGAACATTATCTAAAAGTTCATACTTCTAAAAAAAAAATTATGTAATCCGGTAGCCAATCCAGAAGGCTGGGCCTTTCCCGATCTTCAGAGCAGAGCTTTTCCAACCCCACCTAGAAATCAATCCATCAGAACAGAGCTGGAAGGGCTCAAAGGTCTTCTAGTCCAACCCCCTGCTCAGGTAGGAGACCTATACCAGGGCTGTCAAACTCGTGGCCTGTGGCCCGGATGCATCATGTGTTGGCCATGCCCATGCCCAGTTTAGCGAAGGGGGAAAAAGTCGTGATACGTCTCATGATGCTCCTGTTATGACGCAGGTTTGACACCCTTGCCCTATACCCGTGATGGCGAACCTATGGCACGCGTGCCACAGGTGGCAAGTGGAGCTATGTCGCCTGGTATGCCAGCTTAGCTCCGGGAGTCTCTGGAGGCTGGGGAGAGCAAAAAATGGCTACCATGCCATCACGTGCCAGGAGCGTGGGGAGCATTGGGGGGGGGGTCATGCACAAATGTGTGGGGGCAGGGCACATAGAATTATGGGTGCACACACACGCATATGCCCCCATGTTCCTGGCATATAATGGCAAAAAGATTAGCCATCACTGCCCTAACAGTTCAAATGCATGTTCTATGCAAGCAGATAGATAGATACCACTTAGGTGGGGAGACGAGCTGGTACTCAATGCAGCCAGTCAGATTGCCGAAGGCTCTGAACCAGGGGTGGGTTCTGCCTACCTTTACTACTGGTTCGAAATGGGGCCCCGCGCAGGCGCTCTTCTGCTCATGCGCAGAGGCATTTTGATGACGTCGGGGTCGGTGGGTGGAGCCTCCCGCTGGTTTTACTACCGGTTCTATAGAACCGGTGCGAACCGGGAGCAACCCACCACTGCTCTGAACCTTTCTGGTTGTGGCGCCCAGGAAGGGAGGTGGCTCCAGGAAGAGATGGGGCCTTGGGTAACTCTGCAGGAAGAGCTGCTCATTTTTCTCTCTGGTGCGAAGCCACAACACCTTCCTGTGGTGCACCCACAACAGGGCTGGTACCAGTGGTGGGCTGCTGCTGGTTGTAACAACCGGTTCACCCAGCACCAAAAATGTGATGCCCTTCCATGCACGTGCGCAGCTTTCTGTGCATGTGTGCAGCTTTCCCGCGCATGCACACTGCTTCAAAAACACAGTGATATAGGACGGGATAGTGCTGGGGCTGGAGGGGGGGCGGTTCGCCCGAACCGGTCTGAACCGGCAGCAGCCCACTTCTGGCTGGTACCTTGGCAAGCAGAACTACTACTCTGCAATAGCACTGCAGCTACTGTAACAACACCATACACTAATCATAATAAATAATCCTGCGTGCTTTCTGCAACAGAATTCAGCTTCTGCCGATTCTACCGTTTGCTCAGGTAAATTCTCTTTGCAGAATGCAAAGAATGACCAACCTGTCCTGTATCCGATGGAGATCCGATTCCATCGTCTTCTACGGTAGGCATGACTAATTTCGATTTTTTTTTTCATGCCCCACTATCCATAGCAACCCACCCCCAAATCGAAACGATACTCGTTACTCTGCATTCCCACATACTCAACCCGATGCATTTTAGGGCTAGAAATTCTTTTAAAAAGCAGTTTCCTAAGGAACCACATTCTCGCACGGATAAAATTGGCGAACAATCTTCCCACACACAACCATTCAATCAAACGTCTGCTTAATTTTTTTTTTTTTTTTTAAAAATCAAAAAAGGAGGTTCTTTTTTTTTTTTGGGGGGGGTTGGGTTTTTTTTTTCCATTTTTTTTTAAAGAAAAAAAATCTTTCCTTTACAATTTTATTTACAAAATGTATTAAAACTCTTTGTACAATGCCCCATTAAAATGAGGCTCGGGAATTGATGCTCACACATGCAGTTAGCCGGAAGTTCATTTGGCAAGGTTCTTTTTTTTTTTCTTCTTTTTTTTTTCTTCTTTTTTTTTCTTCTGTTCATGAAGTGCAATTTTTAACAACCGATCAAGAAACAACCTAAAATTACTTTTCGAACCAAAAAAAAAAAAAAAAGGCAAAGGAAAGGAAAGAGGAAACCGAAACAATTTTTTAAAAAATGCCTCTGAAGGAGCTGCTGTTTTATCTGCACAGCTTCAAATTAGTAGCAGATTTTTTTTGAAGCAATTGATACTTTTCTCCCCTCATTTTTAAATTAACATGCACGTTTTTTAAAAAAATTACAACCCATTGACCGAAAGTATCCCTAGCGTGAAGCCTTCGCTCTGAAAAAGTTATTTTCGTTTGATAAACATACATTTCTTTTTATACAGCTTCTATGAAAATGTCTCCCCCCCCCAATATTTTTTTTGTTTTGTTCTTTTTTGTTCTTTTTTTTTACTTAAATACAACATGTTTTTGCACAGCATTTTGCATTTCCTTTTGCTGGAACATTATAGCATTCAGAAATTTAAAATCACAGTTTCAGGAAAAAGAGCAGTTTCTTTTTGCTTAACATCTCTGTAAAAAAAAAAAAACAGACACGAGTGCCAGCTTTTTCTTCAGGTGGAAATGTTTCTCGCGCTAATTTTCTTCTTGTCGCTTTAATGTTCCATTTTTTTGTGACGATGAAATGAGCATTTCCCCCGTTTTATTTCTACAGGCTAACCCCTTTGTCTTATAACGAACTATCAAATATATCATGAAAGATCTTTTCTCTTCCTTTGAATAAGCTATCAAATATATTTCCAGCGACTTATTTCAAACATTGTCTTCTTTTTTTTAAATTATTATTATTATTATTTGAAAGAAAAAAATATATCTATCTATCTCTAAATGCCTTATCGACATTTTTTTAAAAATTGAATTGATATCCAGTATGTCTTTAATGGAATGAAATGTCGCAGAGCTCTCATGCCGCAACTATTGTCGTTTCATATTAGAGGTAATTAGTAGGCAGAATTTTTTTTTTTTGAAACTTATTTGTGGTTTATCTTTTCGTGGTGGACGGATGGCCAAATGGACGGAGGTTGGTTTCATTTTGCCAGCCTGATTCATTTCTCACCACTCTGCCTACGTTTCTTCCGCCTCTCGTGATTCCAAGACCTTCGTCTCCCCTTACCTGCTAGCCTATTTAATTAGAATCACCGGTGATTAAACCTGAATTATTGTGTTTTTTTTTAAAATCCTCCAACCCTTACCATTGAGCCCTCCAACATAAGTGGAGTTCGGACAGATTCACATCCCGAAAACACTTGTTTACGTCTGAAAAACTGTAAGGCAGTAACGCTTAATTCACCATCTTGAGTGTCGAATTCTGGAATGCATTATATTTCTTTATGAAACTCAAGATGACTTTTTTTATTATTACTATCTAAAGAAAAAGTAAATAGCCGTGGAAAACAGCTGAGGATAACTATAGTAAGTAACAGAAACTGGTCCCCTTTAAAATACCATTGTCTTTCTTTTTTCCTCTCTCTCTCTCTCTCTCTCTCTCTCTCTCTCTCTCTCTCTCTTTTGTGAAGCGAGGATGAAAACCACAACTGCTCAGGTGAAGATCCCAGTGCTAAAGTTACCTGTTTAAATGACAACGCGAAGATGAAAAGAGACAGACGGGGCTTCTAAAACAGCACGAGGAGGGCCAAATTGTTCTCTCCCATCTGTCTTTTCAATATTCAGTGATAATCAGTTTTGTTCTGAAAAGATATAAGTAAGTTTCTAAGGGGACAGATCGCAGAGAACAACATTTGGGAGTCGGTTACTTCTCAAAGCTCTACCAGATCGGTCTATTATTATTATTATTACTTAAGAAAGCACTTGGAAGTGATCACTAAAATGGCTGGGACACTTGCCAACGTGCCTGATTTCTCTCTCCAAAGTGACTTTTAATAGAACAGTTGAAATGAAATATATATATATATATATAGTGGCCTAAACGTGGAGCTCTCACCTCACAATCAGGAGGCTGTGTGAGTTTGATCTTAGGTAGAGGCAGATATTTCTCTCTCTGGGCACAATGAGAATTTATCTGCTGAATATAACTCCGCATTGGTGACAGGAAGGGCATCCGGCCAGTAAAACACTCAGCTCCATTCAGTTGCCCCAACTCCACCCCACAAGGGATTACAGGGGTCATTAAAAGACTATGGTGATGACATATGTGTGTGAGTGTGTCTGTGTCTGTCTGTGTGTAAATGTGTTGTGTGTATGTGCATGTATGTGTATATGAGGTTTACAATAGTGATGGTAGACAGAGAATTCTGGAAGGAATACAATGGCAGAAAAAAACCAGCATCACAATATCCCAAATTTCAATGAACAGACAGTTCCAGGAAGATAAGCAGTGGATTTCTGAGGTGTATTAGGAAAAGCTTAACATTTTAATAAGCAGAGAAAGAGGGGCTTCCTTTCCCCCCATAAAGATCGTTCATGTTTTCTGTGCAGTGGTATCAAAGAATGGCTTCTGTTGAACGTTTTGATTCTTTCTTTCTTTCTTTCTTTCTTTCTTTCTTTCTTTCTTTCTTTCTTTCTTTTTTGTTTTCACAAGAATGCTTTCGGCGTCTTTTATTCTCTCTCTTTCTCTCTCTCTCTGTCTCTGCCTTTATGAATATTGTCTGCCGAACGGACTAGTCTCTTGCCCCATTTTTTGTTCGTTTTTCAAGCAAAGCAAAAATATTATTTTATTTTATTTTTTTCTGATGGTTTGCATTGTTTCTAAAGTCTTAAGAATCTCCTGTTAAGGCACTGAAGGAAAACAAAAACAAAAAAACAAACGAACAAAAAAAATCAGAATCCTGTGAAAAGTTCTTGGCACCATCATCAGTATTGTGTCGAAATCGACACCCGGGAGAGAGAGTAAAATTGGCTCAGGTGACCAGGATCACTGAAGTAACTGGGAATCTCGGTTGTTCCTCCCTTTGCAAGCCATGATAAATGCAGGATCTGTAACGAGATGACAAAAAGCTGAGCTCTGTCCCATAGAAACAAAATCATGCGCAGGGACCAGGAAACAAACATCAGAGGAAGGAGGGGATCAGCCCACTAAATTTTCTTCTCCTCCCCCTACTTTTCTATGGTTCTGTGATATAACCCAAACAATCCACTCCTCTCATTTTGGGGGCCGCCCCCTTAAGATTTTGGGGTAAGCGATGGACCTGAGTCAGTGATGAAATGTAAAATTTGTTACCATCGGTTCTGTGGCCGTGGCTTGGGGGGGGGGGGGGGGAGTGGGTGGGCATGGCCAACTTTTTTTTTTACTTTTTTTACTTTTAAAAGCATTTTTTTCTACAACCTCTTCAGCCGAAGAGATTGTAAAAAAAATGCTTTTAAAAGGCTCTGACGATCCCAGCTGAGTTGCCTGATCATCAGAGGCTTTTGTTTTCTTTTAAAAGCATTTTTTTTTTGCTTTTAAAAGAAAAAAAAAGGCTCTGACGATCATCAGGCAACTCAAGCTGGGATTGTCAGAGCCTTTTAAAAGCAATTTTTTTTTTTTACAAGCTTTGGTTGTAGAAAAAAATGCTTTTAAAAGGCTCTGACGATCCCAGCTGAGCCGCGCGATCATCAGAGGCTTTTTTTTTAACTTTTAAAAAATGCTTTTAAAAGTTTTTTAAAAAAGTCTCTGATTATCATGCGGCTCAGCTGGGCTTGCGGGGGGTGGGGGTGGGGCAGGGATTTTTGCTACTGGTTCTCCGAACCACCCGCCGCTAACACTACCGGATCGGGCGATCCAGTCCGAACCGGGAGCATTTCACCCCTGACCTGAGTAGAACCAAATCGTTGGCCTGAGAAAACTGTTCGAGATATTCATTTCCTGTCCCAAAGGTGCTTTCTCCAAAAGGCAGATGGAGTTTCTTTGTTTTTTCCCCCCGTGAAAACGTTTCGCTACTCATCCAAGAAGCTTCTTCAGTTCTTCTTCAGAAAAAAAACAAAGAAAGAAAGAAAGTCCAGTTGCTTTCATAAACGCACCTTTGGGACAATCATGACCTGGATGGCTGAGAATCTCCATATATGTATTAGAGGTAGTAGCAATGACTATAGAGGAGACAACACCATAAATCAGACTTGGTTGATAGAAAACAAGATTCAAGGTTGCTCTTTTGGAATTCATGCCCTCCACTTTATGGAAAGGAGAGATATGACTACAGTAGTGGCCAAAATTGTGGAACCCTTTTGGGAAAGTTATATTTTCTAAAACTAGCTAATAACACCACTTTTTTGGGGAGTAGTACCATAAAATTATATATCAATGGAAGGATAATTTAATCAAGAATGTAATGCAATAACTTTTATGAAGGATTTGCTATTGGAATAGCAATTACAGTATAAAGAAGAAAAATGAAACATGTAGAAAAAACGAGATATACAAAAATTATCACCATAGGAAAAAACAAGATATACAAAAATGATCACCATGTCAGTTAATACTTAGTTGGGTAACCTTTAGCATGGATTAAGGCCTTACAACGTCTTCCCATGGAGTGAACCAAGTCTTTTAGTTCTGCAGCTGTTCTAATGTGAAACCAAGATTGAAGGATTGCTTCTATTAACTGGGTTTTATTGCTGGGTCACTTCTGATTAACAAGTTTCTTTAGTCGGCTCCCAGATTTTTCTGGGCTATTCCCAGGCCATTCCAACAGTGGAATAGGATTATCTTGAAACTCCTCCCCAAAAAGTGGCGTTATTAGCCATCAAACCTCAAAAAGACACTTTCCCCAAAAGGTTTCCACAATTTTGGCCGCTACTGTATTTATTTTGTTTTTATGAGTTCCGTCACAATAACAAAGCGACTCAGAATTTTGCCCGGTTCTCTTCAGGACCTCAACATTTCTCTTCCATTGGACAACAGGAGAAAAGATCTCAGAAAAAATACTTACCGTTGTTCCACAGTTCCCTTTAATATATACAAGTGAATATCACACATAGAAGGTTTTTTTAAAAAAAACGAGGAAAATATCAACAGCATCATTTTATATTTGTGCTCCTGGATGGGTCAATATTTTCAACAAGATTGAATGTATGGCTGTAGAACTAATGAGAAAAAAAAAATAGATGCTGACTTAAAACCCAGATTTGAAGACTCTGCGAAGCACAACGGATTCATGTTATTTAAGAAGGAACTGTAATTTTGGATTTAAATTGCTAGCTTCAGAATCTTTGGAGGTGGGGAAGGGTGTGACACACTTCCTGGAGCTCTTGCCTCACAATCAGGAGGTTGTGAGTTCGATCCAGGGATGAAATATACCGGTTCGGACTGGTTTGGTCGAATCCGTAGTGGTGGCAGCGTGTGGTTCAGAGAACCAGTAGCGGCGGCAGCACGAAGCTCCGCCCACTTACCCAGACGTCGTTACTTCCTGGTTTTAACCAAGAAGTAACCTGGTTTTGACCCTCTACGCATGTGTAGAATGCTTTGCACATGCACAGGGGGTCCAAGTGTGCCCGTGATGTGCGCGCACACACTTCTGAGCCAGTAGGGAAGGTAAGTAGATTTCATCCCTGGTTGGATCCTAGGTAGAGGCAGATGTAGGGTCTCCTGCTTGGGCAGGGGGTTGGACTAGATGACCTGCAAGGTCCCTTCCAACTCTGTTAATCTGAATCTCAATGCAACAAATGAATTAAGGAGTGTATACAGCTCAATGTAAGGGCATCGTGTTATTGGGTGGACAATCGCAATTTGAGCGAAATAGACGTTACACTTGCTCATTTGACGATGCTACTCTAGGTAACTGCTTTTCTGTAGAAATAATTGGATGGAATTTCAGGCTTTATCATAATTCTCTCTTTAATGCATGGCTCTCCAAAGCTGGATCAAGTAGTCAGACTTTCCTGCTCATTACTGCAATTTATTGGAATTCTAAACCGAGAGGGGGGGAAATGATTTATCCTGTTCGAGAAATAAATAATCGCCAATGTCCATTTCCTGAGGAAAAGGCATCATGCCATGAAAAGGATGGATATCATCCCATCTCCAGATAATACTTAATTTATGTAAAAAAAATATGGCTTTAATATTAAATACTGTGCTTTTATCACAGCAAATCCTTCTCACAGAAACAAAGATGTATTGATAGAAGAAAATATTTGTAGCTCAGGATTGATGCTCTCTTGAGCTTGGTGTTGTGGCCCATCAGCGGCCTGTGCAGTTAGTAGCTGATTCCGACAGCAAGGAGGCTGGTGTGGTGCTGCGCCAGCAGCCTGTGCAGCTGGTACTCGAGTCAGACAATGAAGAGGCTGGAGAAGATGTGGTGCCAGAGGCGGGGACTCAGCCAGGGCCTTCAGAACCTCCAGAAGCTCCCATAAGTGAAGAGGAAGAGGAGGAGCCTCTTTTCGATGCACAGGCGTGCAGAGCTGCCAAAAGGCAGGAGTGGTTCCTCAGGAGGAGCTCTCCTCGAGAGTAAGGCTTGGGGCTAATTGGCCACTCCTTTAGTCTATTTAAGGAAGGATGACAACTGAGGCAGTTTGCAGGGAACAACTTCATTCACTCTCCTTTGCGTCCTGATCTTAGTTCTCTTATCAGTTTCCTGCAAATTGCTTCTGGGCTTTCTGCCAACCATAGTAAGATTACGATTATTTATTCTTTGGATTCTTGTAGGCTGGTAATAAAGTTAATTAACAGCCTTTATTTGAAAAAGACTGATTTAATTTAGTAAACTAAGATTTGTACAGACTTCGTGTGTGCTGCATTCTTTGGGGTCCGTAGCTGGGGCAGAACATTTGGTAACCAAACCAAACCTCTTCCAGATGTTTCATTACCAAACTAGGTAACATACCATCAATACATTAATATTGTTATCCAGTTTGGTAATGAAACAACCAAGCTCAAAAGACCACCAAGGACTCCCCAAAGATGTATGAATGGTTTGACGGAGCCCCTCCCATTGATAGAATCGAACAATCGTTGATTGACCAACGATTTAAGAGTCAACCCAACCCACGTTTGGGGGGTTCTAGCTGCCTTGTGTCCAACGTCCGAGATGTTCCATCCTAAAGCGTTACTCCAGATGCAGAGGGAGAAGACAAAACACCAAAACACGTCAACATCAGGAACACCAAACACGTAAAAACAACAACAACAAACCAGTGGATTTGCTTACTCAACCTTTAGCCATACCACTAGATCTTTACACTTTCTGTTCCATACACGTTGTATCCTTCTCTGTACGTAGCATAATTCTGGGTATTGGGTGCAGGAGCTGGCTTAAAGTTTTGTGTGTTCTTTGTCAGTTTCATTCGTTTGGACTCTGCTCGAGACTTGTAACAGAATTCTATCAAGGCCACAGTCATGGCAAGGCCGAGGCCTCCAACCAGGATATAAAACACCCCTGCCACATTGCTCAAGCTGAGTGCGCTTGTCTTGTCCTAAGAAAAACGAACCAGTCGGTTAGCTTCAGAGTAGGAAAAAAAAATCAACAGACAAGGTGGACATTGTGTTACTTAGGCAAAAGAACGAGAGGGATTTGCTACAAGAACCTAAGGCCTTTCCTGCCTTTGAGCGTAAAGCTCTTCTCACCCAAATCTTTCAAAATACAATCGTCAACACTTTCGGTAGCTTAAAGTTACAAATCATGCCCCAGAAAATGAAAAAAAAAAATAACAAAAAAAGGTTTTACAAGAGGAACACACCCAGCAAAGAAAGTTTCATCCCTCCCACCCACCCCCATCCATTTCTCCAGTGCTAATTAACGCACAAGGACACAACGTCAGCTTTTAAACCACGTTTCACAGTTGTTCTGGTGAATATGACTGTATCATCTAATCATCCCTTGGAATGTGTCAGATATTCCCACTTGGAGTGGGGCTGAAGAAAGCAGGGTGAATTTAAAGAATTTCCAAAAAAAAAAAGAAGAAGAAGAAGAAGAAGAAGACGAAGAAGAAGAAGAAGAAGAAGAAAAAGAAAAAAAAAGAAAAAAAAAGAGGAGAAAAAGGCCTTTGAAAATGATTTTCAACTGAAGAATATAGATCGATCATCCAAATTTGACTAATATTTTCCCTGGCATCCTAAATAGCCAAGCTGTAAGACATTGATCAGTTATTTTTCAGGCTGAGTTCGCTAACACTAATTTCGGGCTGAATATCAGAGCTGAACCAAGAAACGAAACAATAACCCAGCCAAAAATAAGATGGATTTCTGTAACTTTCTGAGCTGCAAATCCTTAAGGCAGAAAGGAAAATAAATAAATAACTGTCTGGGGTTGGTTTCTTTGTCTGAAACGCCATTGTAACCATTTTGCTGCTGGATTGGTTTACCAAATCCCTTGGTTCTCGGTGATGGTGACTCCTTCTACTTTGAGCTGTGACACAAAGAAAATCAGAAGGCTTGTCAACATGAGAAAGTTGTGCTGGTACCACTGAGTGCGAATCGGAAACGCAGTCAAACTGATTCAGGTCCCCAAGGTGGACAGAACCCTTCTGGACTTCCAAAGTGAATATTTTGGAAAGCCTACTTTGGTCGGAAAACACAAAAACACCCAACAACTTTAACGCTGCGGGATGCGGTCCAGCAAAACCAGATGATAACAGGGGGCCAGCACAAATCCAACCGAGCGTCTAGAAGTCGGCAACGAAGAGACAGACGTGAGTTCCTCCTCTGTCTTGAACGAAAAATCTAACAACCCCGTAAGCACTGTCCGCCCAAGGGGTGTGATCCAGCTTCACAACGGACTCATCTTAAAACCAGCACAACTCTCTTATGTAGGCAAGGCCTGAGTGGTTGATGTCAATCTGGATTCCAGACCAATCTGGCAGATATTACAGAAAACTGGTGCTTTTCAATGGTTTGCAGGTTGAGCCTCCGCTTACCATAAGAGTCAGAGTAAACCGTAAGTAGCCGGGGTGTTTTTTATTATTATTATTATTATTTTACAATCGGTCTATCAAATCAGCTTCTCACATGGAAATCCCTTCAAGCACCTTTCCCCAAATATAATCAAGAGGTAGGCAGAGAAAGTCAAGGGCACATTGAGAAGCCTAGCTACTGCGGTCTTCGCTGAATTTTAAGTTCCGCCTGATTGCATTTCAAATTTTGAGTTACGATGAGAGGCTAACCCTGCAGTGGTGCATTTAAACGTCCATCGGCCCAAAAGTCAACTGAAATTGAAAAGGCTATATCCTAGCCCTCCTGAAACCAATATATGTCTCATGACTTCAGCAGGGCCAGGGGATGGAGCCTTCTGGAAAACATCTAAGAATGCCGATTAGGAAAATGATCATAGTCTTTTTTTATTTATTTAAAAAAAGAAAAAAAAAACCAAAGGCACGAATAAGAAATATTCCATTCCTATTTATTTACAACAGGAACCGGCTGTCCCGCCGTTCTTTGTGCATCCCAAAAATGTGATTTGAATATTGGGGGGTGGGGGGAAGGGTTGGGAGGGTTTTCCGATGGTCCCCTTAAAATACATTCTCCAATGTTGCAATCCCAAGTGGGGCAGAAAGTGCTTTACTTCCAAATCAAAAAAAAAAAAAAAAGGAAAAGCGGGAATCGAAGCCCTGTCTTTTACGTCCCACCGGAGCAGCCAGCCATAGGGTGGCTCCCCCCATCATCAACACCCCAGCAACATAATTGGTGTGTCTCTAAGCCGAAAGCCATACCGTTTAAAAAAAGGAAAAGAAAAAGGAAAGGAAAGGAAAGAAAGAAAGAAAGAAAGGAAAATCAAAGTCTGAGGTTGCAAAAAAATTTGTTGGTATGGAATGTCGCAATACAGTAGCAAAATGGTTTGATGAATAATTGTGGGTTTTTTTGTTTTTCTTTTAAAGCAACCGAATGGCTAACATTTATGGAATGAATTTGCAATAAAACAATGCAATATTAGATTTTTTTTAAAAAAAAATAAGAGGATGTTTATGCTCATTAAAGACTTATCCTCTCAAAAATGCTCGGTTTTTTTTTTTAATACTCATGTATGTTCTGGGGTGTTTTCCCCTCCCTTTCACTGTACCTAGAAAGAAGTGACAACATTTCTAGGAAAACTCTGCAGTCTTTGGTCGGCGTTGCGTATTTTATCTGTGCAAAACAGAGAAGCCGCAGGGGATGATTTAATATGGAGTGATTTGGGCCAATTTAAAGAAGCAAAAACAAAACAACAACAACAACAAAAAAAACCCTTGGTTTTAAAAAAAAAGATTGAAAGAGAAAGGAGAGAAAGAACAGATTGGCACCATATGCAAAATAATAATAATAATAATAATGATAATAATGATAATAATAATGATAATAATAATATTGTGGGGAGGTGTTATTGCAAAGAAAAAGAAAGTCCGACTATCCCTTTGGCTAATTCTTCAATTAAAGTCTCCTTTGGCATATAAAAATAGTTCTCTGCTTAACCTTCTGAAGATAAAGAGTTACATTTATGGAACGGATTTGCAATAAAACAATGCACTATTTTAAAAAAAATTGAAAAATAAAATGTCTCAGGTCTTTCTAAGAAAAAAAATATATTTTATGCTTTTCCAACTATCCGCTCGAAAATGATCAGCTTTAGCATTCATGAGTCTCTTCGTGATTTGTTTGTGGGTTTTTTCCCCCCTTCCCCATTACTGTATTGAGAAGGAAGTTACAAACCAAATAAATGAAGTCTAAGGGCCTTTTTGCAAATGGTGAGCGGAGAAAGATTTCAATCAAAGGCAAACTTCTCTCTCGAGGCACGTTTTTTTTAAAAAGAAATATGTGCGAGATGAAAAAAGCCACCAGATAGTGATTTTTTTATACGGAGTGACTTTGGCTAATTCCAAGGACAAAAAAATAATAATAAAACATCAAAAAAATCCCTCGACTTTAAAAAAGAGACACAGAGAGAGAAAGAGAGAGAGAGAGAGAGAAGAGAGAAGAGAGAGAAGAAAGCAAGAATGAAGTTGCATCGAATGCCAAAAAAAACCCCCTCCAAATATATATATATATATATATTTATATTATATATATATATTATTGCAAAGGAAAAATAAAAATAAAGAAAGTCGAGCTGAGCTAACCCTTTAGCTAACTCTTCAATGGAACTTCTCCTTTGGGAGGATGGATTATTATTTTTTTTTTAATAAAAAGAGTTCACTGCTTAACCTTCAGAAGATAAAGAGATAACTTTGGGGGGGGGGAGAGAGAAATGAAACGAGGGCTCAAAAATAATAATGGAAAAGAGAAAAAAAGGGGGGAATCAGAGAAAATCCTTCAGCAAACTGCAAAACTGACCTTGCTTCCGGAATCCTTGGCACCACATTCACCTTTATCGTACCACCATTTGTTTTTCAGCTTGTCTAAGATGCCTTGTTCACTGAGTTTCAATACTGCAAGGTTTACAGGAGTTCTTTACGTGGGAAATAACATAAATAACATTATATTATGTTATTTTATGTTATTCAAGCTTTAAACTACTTTCAAACTATACAAAGCGATAAAGCAGGGTTCCTGGCTGCAAACGTCAAAAGATATAGCTCTAGTATCACTAGCGGTGTGTATAGATATATACATATATATATACATATACATATATACATATATATATACATATATATATACATATATAGGAATATTTAGCTCATACTGCAGGCAAACTGGATCAAACCCCTTTATAAAGAAAGTTTAAACTTCTAGAACACCACTCGATCACCAGGTCCTGCCCATATCGCTTTGAGTAATCGGCACATGCTGTTAAATCCGTTCCGTGGAAAGCGTGGGATCTGATTTCCCCGTTTGGTTGGTTTAGGATTGTACGGTGGATACCGTTCGTCAGCCTGCAGTAGCTTTGGGACAGACTTTTATCCTCAAAGGCTTCCTTATTGAGCTAACAGAAAGAACCAGAGAGGATGGCTGAGTTCAAATCATCTTTTTTACACCACCCTGTCTTTGCCCGCACAGGAAGATCCCGTGAAATCATTGATTGCTAAAAGTACTATGCAGAAGAATCTTCTCAACTAACGGTTAGCACCTGGTTGGAATTGGATAAGGACCTACGGAATTCAAGGAGAGTTGGACTTAGTTTGCTCGTGACTACGTAGGGCAGTGTTTCTCAACCTTGGTAGCTTGAAGATGGGTGGACTTCAACTCCCAGAATCCCCCAGCCAGCAGCGCTGGCTGGGGGACTCTGGGATTTGAAGTCCACCCATCTTCAAGCTTCCAAGGTTGAGAAATACTGACGTAGGGATTCTAGGCTGATTCCTCTTTTCACTCCACCTCTAGGTTCTGCCATCCCTTTTCCGGCAACCAAGCTATTTGGTGGGAAATTCAAGAATATCCAGATTTCTCTACACAAGATCAAAAGAAAAGATCAAACACTTTCTCTCCCAATGCACAAAGAAATTAGCTTACAGTTTTGCGGGCTTGTTTATTCTTAGGTTTAGGGGCAAGATACCCTGAATAGATATAGATATACAGCCCTAGAACTGTGCAGAGATTCCTAATCATAGTCACAATGTCACGATATCCTGTTCTCACTGAGAAGGGGTTTAAAGAAGTACTTATTGAGGACAAGAGAGTCGAATCTTTCAAAAAGTATAACCACAAATCCAGGAAACCATTGCATTCCTGATGTCAACCCTGAAGCTGACCTGACCATTTTGAGGCTTCAGTGTTGCCACACTGGAGCTGAAGGATAGAAAGGGGGAAATAGAGATAGCTGGGGTGAGAAAATACTTTCTCCTGGGAACCAAGGACATTCCCACAGGTTTGTCAGAGAGAGGAGGAGTGATGTTACCATGCAACCGGACCGAACCTGATTGGACCATGTGACTGATCGTTTGGGGAAGGGAGAAAACTTTTACTTTTAATTAGGTGGAAACCGCAGGAACATTCAGAGTCGGTTTTCATCAGCCTGTGCCAATACGATATATCCAATAAAGCTGTTCTTTGAGGAATTCACCTGCCTTGGAGTTCTGTTTGCTATGGATATATTACTTGGAACCCTGACACCTGAGTCAACCCACATCCACTCTGTCAATTCTGTAAACTTTAGGACACAGAATCCTCCACTGAAGCAAAGTTGGAAACTTTCGGATCTGCTCAAAGTCCCACGGTTTTCTGAAGTTCGAAAAGAATCCAAGAATCTGCAGTACATTCAGTTCCCCTGAACACCTTTTGATCAATCTGTGCGCTAATTTGTACATCGCTAACCCCGCAACAGTCCAGTGGTATCAATTCCCTTATGAAGCTCATGCAGTTTGTTATTCAACCACGGTTCGCTTAGCAAGCACCGATTGATAGCTTGATATGGTTTCCAACTTCCTATGGCTTAGTTCACATGACACATTTAAACCAAATTGGGAGAAATATGGAAACATCCAGAGGCAGATTAATAACAAACCAATCCACACCGCTGCTTTACTTTGACCAACAATAAGCTATGTTTACTTATTCTGCTCAAGGAATCTCAACCCTGAGTTAAAAAAATCCAGAGACAAGGCTGCCTATCTTGGTTAACCATCTCTTTGAGCAGCATAACTGCCTACAATATGCTACCATCACTTGGAAAATATTCAGCAGAAGCCTTGCGTGAAATGAAATGATGTGCACTCTCCTTTTTCTTCAGAGCCGATCTGATATGCTTTGCTATCCAAACTGAAACAGCAAATTAGACCTTCCCACCCCACCCACCTGCTGTTGTGGCCCCTCCAGCAGGTGAATTGGAGGAGGAGGCAGCATGGGAGTCAGGGCCAGCATCAAGGCAACCTGAGAGCTCTGGGGGGAAAGAGGGAGTGGAGCTGGCAGAGAGAGAGAGAGACAGAGGCAGAGCCTGGACTGTCAATCAGTCCCCAGATGGAGAGGCAACAGCCCCCAGGTCTGGAGGTGTCTGATGAGGAAGAGGAGGAACAGCTGGGTCCAGTGCCTGATGCATGGATGCCCAGAAGGCAGAGGAGAGGAGAGCAGCGGAAATCTATGGGCTGGTCCTTGGGATGGAAGAGCCACCACTGCAAACGAAGCCCCACCTTAGTTCTTGGGATAAAAGGCAGGGGTTGGAGATGAATAGATGTGGCAGACAACTATTCATCTCTCTGCCGGACAGTCTAATTAGCCTGCTGAAAGAGAGAAACTTTTCGCCGGGGCTGCTGGGGCTCCTAATAAAGGAATCATTGATTTAACTTCAGAGGGTTTGTCATGTCTGGGGAGCCGAGTGAGAACACCTTCTTCCTTTTGTTTTGCTCTCAATTAAGCACAAGGAAAAGCAACTCTATCTCACCACCCCCCCAATTCTTCCTGAGTGGTGTGATGCAGCAACCTGGAGGAGATTATCTGAAATTGCATGGAGGTGCTAACATTGGATGACCCTCGATGGCCTGCGTATTTATGAAACAGATGTTGTTTTGCCTTTCCATCCTTTCTGGGAAGGGGGGGGGGCTTCTGAATGCAAACGTTGGCTGCTGATGGCTTATTCACTTCCTTTTCAAAGGCAGAAGTTGAATGCAGCCATTCATCAGCATTCAATCTCCCCAAAGACGAAATCTCAATTAAGTCTGCCGAGTTTTCAATCGAATGGCGTAGAGCTTCATATCTGTCTAGATTTCTCGTTGGTGCTTTTCTCAATGTAAGAAAAATGAACTATAGAAGAGTTGCATTTCCTTGATGAGTTAGGAAGGGGAGCATCTTTCTAAATAGTTCTGTTCCGTTTTCCATCAAGATATTTTGTTCCTGCAATGAGATTCCTTCTTTGTGATGGAATACATTTTTTTGGTTTGGTTTTCCCAGGAGTAAAATTTAGCTTTGGATCCATCGAGCCTTTGATGTTCTCCTGGTCATCGCAAATGTAGTGTCGATGGAGTAGCTTTTTGGGGTGCATACATTGAGATTAATATATATATGTTTTCTGAGGTTTTTGCAGGTGTTTGTATGTAGGTCTTTGGTTATTCGGGTTTTCTCCCGTGTAAAATTGGAGGTGTCTTGGCAACGTTTCGACGAAGTCTCATTCGTCATCTTCAGGCTGGTGTTCTCGGCTTTGTGCTTCTAGGAGCAATGTGTGTGATCGCAGCTGTTTCTTCCTTTTAACTGCCAGTGGGGGTGTGAACTGATTGTGTGGGAGCTTGGCTGTGTTCTGATTGGGTGGAGGTGTGTTCTGATAACCCCCCATCCAATCAGAGCACAGCCAAACCCCCAACCAATCAGAACACACCTCCACCCAATCAGAACACAGCCAAGCTCCCACCCAATCAGTTCACACCCCCACTGGCAGTTAAAAGGAAGAAACAGCTGCGATCACACACATTGCTCCTAGAAGCACAAAGCCGAAAACACCAGCCTGAAGATGACGAATGACACTTCGTCGAAACGTTGCCAAGACACCTCCAATTTTACATGGGAGAAAACCTGAATAACCAGACCTACATACATACATACATACATACATACATACATACATACATATATATCTATATGCAATAAATCAGATAGATGCAGAAGGATGCACAAGCCATTTGTAAGTAACAAGAAGCAATTGATACAGTCACCCATGTTTTTGAGCTTCCTGAATGAAAATTCACAATGGTGAACCAGACTGATCAAAGGTTATCTTCTTGATCCTTCAATTTGCACTATAGATGAATAGCTTCTCTTCTAAAGGGTGTAGATCAAGGAAGTTCCTTTTTATGCAACGCGAGATTAAGCTTTCTGAAAGAAGAAGTGGGATGGCTATTCATTTAGAGGAATTTAAAAGGAGAGTAGACAAATTTGTGAAATACGTTGCCATGGAGGGATGCTACAATTGATGACTTTAGACTCATGAACAATTCTGAAAATATGGTTATATCTATCCATCTATCCATCCAACTTCTTCCTCTTTTATTATAATATCTTCCTTCCATATCTTATAAGGTAAAGGTTCCCCTCGCACATATGTACTAGTCATTGCTGACTTTAGGGGGTGGTGCTCATCTCTGTTTCAAAGCCGAAGAGCCAGCGCTGTCCGAAGACGTCTCCGTGGTCATGTGGCCAGCATGACACAACACCAAAGGCGCACGGAATGCTGTTACCTTCCCACCAAAGGTAGTCCCTATTTTTTCTACTTGCATTTTTTTTTACGTGCTTTCGAATTGCTAGGTTGGCAGAAGCTGGGACAAGTAACGGCAGCTCACCCTGTTACACTGCACTAGGGATTCGAACCGCTGAACTGCCGATCGATTGACAAAACAGCCTTGGTAGTACAGTGGTCTAAAGCACCCTGTTATTAAGACCAGCTGCCTGCAATTACTGCAGATTCGAATCTCGCCAGGCTGAAGGTTGACTCAGCCTTCCATCCTTTCTAAGGTAGGTAAATTGAGGACCCAGTTGTTGGGGCAATAAGCTGACTTTGTATAAATATATACAAAAGGATGAAGGCTATTG